GCAGAGCTGCTTTGGGGCGCAGGCCGACTGAGGCGCGCGGGACCCCAGCCGGCCACCGACGTACAGTCGGGGCCCTGAGGAAGGAACCCTTTTCGTTGGGGAGGGGCTCCGTGTTCCTTCAGTGTGTCGCAGCTTGCCTCAGGGTTTCCTTAGGTTTTCGATGGGACATCGAAGTTTAACTTATGGAAAGCAGGGGCCTCGTTCCTTATTTAGGGTTCCTTAGGTCAACGCCCCGACTGTAGCGCTAAGTCGGGCGTGTCCCTCTACAGGGGGAACACTCCAGAATAGCAATTTTGAAAGTATGGCCCCCAGAAGGTCAAAATAGTCGGAGGTGGATCGACCTCCTACCCTGACACGTCGATTAAGGAATTGGCCGTCTTCGGTTCGCGAGAGGGCGTCGCGGCCGTCATTTTTGCGGGTCCAGGTCCGTCGGTTTCGGTCCCAGGCCGTTTTTCACTAAGGGGAGGTTTGCTAAAGAGAGGTTTGTCCACCGCCGAAATAGTAAAAGTAGTATAAATCATAGCTGTTCGTCCAAGATCCGCCTGTAGAAGGACACGCCCGACCTAAACGTAGCGCGCGTGCCGCGTCGGGCGACGTGGCGCCCCGCGACGCAGCGCCGCCCCGACGCAGCGCCGCCCCGACGCACCACCCCACCGCCCGCCCCCGCCCGGACGTGGCGCCCCGACGCAGTGTAAGGGGGGGGTTGGGGGGGGAAGGGTTCCTCCTCCTCTTCTGCTCGACCTCCTCCCTCCTCCCTCCCGGGGCTCATTTTGTGACCCCGCCGGTTCGATTCGCTTCGATGTCGATCCATGCCGATCCCGATGCGATGCGACTCCGGGTTCGGTAGGTTCTTCCTTGGACACGCCTGGGGGTCTGGAACACATCAAGGCATCGTATGTCTTGGGTTTGCTCACGCCCAGCACACCCCCATCCCCACGGGCCCGCTGTCCGACCTGCCCTTCCGGGGGGGACAGATGCTCGCTCCCAATTTCGTTTGGATGCAGTCAACCTGCAGAGCAAGGATGAGCAGTTTTCCAAGGATGCCCTTGCATCCTTGCCCCTTCGGCCCCTTCCTGGCAACGCTTGCTGGCCAGGCCCTTAGGGTACCCTGGGAACGTGGCGTTCAAAGGCCCTTTGCAGCATTACCGCGCATCCTTACCTGTATGGGTTCACTGCAGTCTGGTGGCCCTCAGGAACTCTGACCCACTAGAGCTGGGGGGAGGCGTGACGTTGCCGAGGTGCGGTGGGCTGGCGCAGCAGCTCGGGATGACGCGAGCGTGCATGGCCTGCCCTTCCCGCTCCCTCCTCCTCTGCCCTGGCCTGCCCCGTCCCGCTTCTCCCCGCCCCTCCCGTGGCAGAGCCCTCCCCTCGTTCGCACCGCCCCCGCTCCCCGCTGCATCCTCCTCCTCCTCCTCTCCGTCCTTGTCGGGGCAGCGGCCGCCTGTGCTCATCCTTCGTTTTTTCATGTCGAATCGGCATCCTGCGGGCTGCACCTGGACACGCGCCAGCGGTGCTCAATGGCCGAGGGTGGGCCCCGGCCCTCCCCGGGAGGCCCGGGTGGCCTCGCGAGGGCGCCCCTCGCGAGGCCCAGCGGGCCCGAAAAGGTCGCCCAGAGCGGCGCGACAGGCTGGGGAGCACCGTGGGCCCAGATCTCACCACCTACCAAACCACCCTAACCCAACCCGAAGGCCTCAATTTGCCCTCCATTTCCAGTGGGGGGGGATCGGGGAACATCGAACAAACACATGTGGAACCCATACCCCCCCCAACCCGAAATTCGGGTCTTCGGGTTGGGTTGGGGTGGTCTGGTAGGTAGTCAAGATCACATCTGGCGGCGTCCCACAAGAGTGGTCCATCCAGCCCAGCGAGCACTCGGAGCTTCCAAGCATCGCGCGCGCTGGAAAAAAATGAGCTCCTCGCGGCTGCTCCGAGGTCGTGAACCCCGTCGCCATGGCTTGCTCCTTCCTTCTCATGTCATGATTGTGCCAGCAGGGCGGCAGTAACGGCGGGTCCCCAGGGGAAGTTCGCGCACAGATTCTGCAATGAGTGGGTGTTCGGGGTATGGTTTCGATGAGGATCGGCACCGCTCGTACCATGTTTGTCTTCGGGCCATCTTGGTGCCTCGGGGGCCAGGCGGTGTTGGCAGCCGAGAGCCTACAATTGTGGTCCATGGGTCACGAAATGTGTGATGTTGTGTATGTGTGTGTGTGTGTGTGTGTGTGTCCATTCCGGACGGAGGAAGAAGATGAAGGAGAATGAAAGGGGGGGAGCCAGAGAGGACGAGGAATGCTGAACGAGGAGGAAGAGGAGGAGTAGGAGGCGGGGCAGGGAGGAGGCAGGAAGGATGGGAGGGGGGGGGACTGGGGAGGAGGGGAGGGAGGAAGGGACAGAGTGTGCAGGGAGCGAGGGCGGCAGGGAGGCGCGGAGGAGGCGGCAGCGGGCTCCGCGGCGGCAGGAGGTGCCGCCCGAGAGGCGCGCGCGCGCGGCGCCCTGAGACGACCGCCGCCCCCATGGCGCCCGCGCCGCCCCCGCTGCCGGGCGGGGCCCTATTAGCCCCGCCCGCGGAGGGGTGCCCCGAGGCCTCGCGGTCGCGGGGCCGCAGCCGGGCGCGGAGCAGGAGCCGCGCGCGGAGCCCGGCGGGGTGCCCGTGGGGGTCCAGCAGCGGCGGCGCGCAGGGGCGGCCCTTCGCCGGAGCGACCGCCTCCTCCTCCTCCTCCTCCTCCTCCTCCTCCTCCTCCTCCTCCTCCTCCTCCTCCTCCTCCTCCTCCTCCTCCTCCCCGTGGGTGCGCCGCCTTCGCGTCGGAGGTTTTGTTGCGGTCAGAGGCCGAGGCATGAGAGGTCGGAGCAGGATCGAGGTCGGCTCGGGGGGGGGGTACCCCGATGTGCTTCGCAGTTGTGGGATGCTCTTGTGCATCCTGGGGGGAGGTAACTGCCCTGGCGTGATCTTCGTGCTTGGGGTGTTTGGCTGGTGGAGGGTCGCATGTGCTTGAAGGATGTGTTTCTGTCCGAGGTCCGACTCTGTAGAAGAGTGCCCCTGGCCCAGGCTGGCCCCACGGTTTCCAAAGAGGCCCCCGCGGCCTCGAGTGCACCCCATCACGAGGCCCAGGGGGGCCCCAGTGGTCCCAAAATCAGACAGTGGCGAAGCGTCCTGGCTCGCCTATAGCCCTACCAAACAATGTTCTGAGAACCTTTTTTGGTTTCCACGAAATGCTCTTAGAACATCTCTGGCGGAGATTGTCTTGCTCCCAACCATCCTGTGGTGTTGGGTCCTCGTTTTGAAGAGACAGCGCCCCGTGTCCCACCTTCCTCCTTCCTCCTCCTCCCCCCTCCTCCCCACCCCCCCTTCCAGTGCAGCGCTTCGTAGCCCCATAGGGAGCTCCACCGAAGGCCCCAGTGGGGCTGCCCGCATGCGGTTCCCCCACTCAGGGCAGCGTTTCGTGGCCCCATAAAGAGCTCCACTGTCGGTCCCACTGGGGGTGCCCGCATGCGGTTCCCACACCCAGGGCAGCGTTTCGTGGCTCCATCGGGAGCTCCACCGAAGGCCCCAGTGGGGGTGCCCGCATGCGGTTCCCCCACTCAGGGCAGCGTTTCGTGGCCCCATAGGGAGCTCCACCGAAGGCCCCAGTGGGGGTGCCCGCATGCGGTTCCCCCACTCAGGGCAGCGCTTCGTGGCCCCATAAGGAGCTCCACTGTAGGCCCCAGTGGGGGTGCCCGCATGCGGTTCCCACACCCAGGGCAGCGTTTCGTGGCCCCATAGGGAGTTCCACCGTAGGCACCAGTGGGGGTGCCCGCATGCGGCTCCCCCACCCAGCTTAGCGCTTCGTAGCCCCATACGGAGCTCCACCGAAGGTCTCAGTGGTGGTGCCCGCATGCGGTTCTCCCACCCAGGGCAGCGTTTCGTGGCCCATAGGGAGCTCCATCGAAGGCCCCAGTGGGGGTGCCCGCATGCGGTTCCCCCGCCCAGGGCAGCGTTTCGTGGCCCCACAGGGAGCTCCACCGAGTGCCCAAGTGGGGCTGCCCGCATGCGGTTCCCCCACCCAGGGCAGCGTTTCGTGGCCCCACAAGGAGCTCCTTTGTAGGCCTCAGTTGGGGTGCCCGCATGCGGTTCCCCCACCCAGGGCAGCGCTTCGTGGCCCCATAGGGAGCTCCACCGAAGGCCCCAGTGGGGGTGCCCGCATGCGGTTCCCCACCACCACCACTGTGGCAGGCCCCTCACACAGTTCGTGGCCCCATAAGGAGCTCCACCGAGGACGATATTCACAACTGCGGTACTCACAACTGCATATGGTTGGGTCCGTCGCCAGGCTGATTTGAGCACATCGGTTGTATGTTCTAAAAACACGGTTTTCGTTTTTAGCCTTAGCACATCTTTGGGTGCTAAGAACATCTCGTGGTAGGACTATAGGAATGCCGGGACGGTCGGTCCCTGCTCAACAAAGTGGCGCGACGAGCTGGGGGCACCTTGGGCAGGGGGCACCTGCGGCAGCCTCCCAGCGAGGTGTTTCGCTGTCTCTTCGGCCTCCGGGGGCCTCACCGGGCCCCCGGACGGTCCAGGAGCGACTGCCAGACGAAACGCCCCTCCTCCTCCTGCTCTTCATCCTCTTTCTCCTCCTCCTCCATTTCCTCCTCCTCTTCCTCCTCCTCGTCCTTTTCTTCCTCCTCCTCCTCCTCCTCCTCCTCCTCCTCCTCTTCCTTCTCCTCGTCCTTTTCTTCCTCCTCCTCCTCCTCCTCCTCTTCCTCCTCCTCCTCGTCCTTTTCCTCCTCCTCCTCCTTCTCCACCTCCTCCTCCTCCTCCTCCTCCTCCTCCTCCTCCTCCGGTCCCCGGGGACGGGAGCCCTGACCTCAAGGGGGTCGACGCTGTGGGAAGAGCACGGCGCCGGGGGCCCTGGGGCGCGGGGGTCAGCCACGCGCAGAGGGGGGTGTGCGGAGGGGGGAGGGGCTTCTTAGAAGCGTCCCTGCTGCTTAGAGGGCGTGGGCCTCATCTGTAGATGCAGGGATGCCGCCTTCTAGGAAGCAGCCTCCTCCTAGCCCTCCCCCCGCCCTCCACCCCCTTGTGCGCGCCGCCAAGGAGGGGGGGGGGGGGGGGGGGGGGGGGGGAGCCCCACGCACTCCAGGAGGCCGCACGCGGCGATGGGCTAATTATAGCCGCGCACCACGGGCCACTCCAGGTTACGTCGGGCCCGTCCCTCTACAGGGGGAATATTCAAAAATAGTAGAACAACTAACCTGGGGACTTTTTATTGCATATTTTTGGACATGTTTTGAGTATTTGTCGAGTCGTTTTTATTCTTCGCCCACAATCCCCCCTGCAGGGGGACAGGCGCGACCGAACTGTAATTAGGACCACCTCGGGGGTGGACGGCAGCCCCACCCCGACGCGTGGGCCAGTGGATTCTCGCTGGACTCGGTTCTCGAGAGGGCGCCGCGGCCGTCCTGTTCCAGGCTTGCGCCCGCCAGGCGTGGGCCCGAGGTCATTTTCACCTAACCACGTTTTACCAAACCGTCCGTTAGGGTCCGTCCGCACGACCCGCCCGATAGGGTTCGCCCGACCCGACCCGCCCGTTAGGGTTTTCATGTGCCATGTTGCATGCGCAGCAGACTTTAGGGTCCACCCGGGGAGGCGGTTGTGCATGCGTTTCTTCGTAATGCCCCCTACGGTCGGGGCGCTGAAAAAGGAACCCTTCTCGTTGGGGAGAGGCTCGGTGTTCCTTAATCGTGCCACACCTTGCCTAAGGTGTTCCTTGCATTTTCGATGGGAAGTCGAGGTTCAAACTTATGGAAGAAGGGGCCTCGTTCCTTATTTAGGGTTCCTTAGGTCAACGCCTCGACTGTATGGTGCATCAGGTATTTCGAGAGACTCCACGCTTTCGCAAGGGGGGGGGCAGGGGGGCTTCCGCCCGACCCGCCCGATAGGGCCCGCCCGCCCCGACCCGCCCGGTAGTGTTTTCTCATGTGTCGTGCTGTAGTCTGTCCGTCTCCGGCCGCCCAAGGGGCGCAGCAGCCCCGCAAGCTATGATCCGCCCACTCTGGCGCAACAGCCCCGCAGTGGGGCCGAATCCTCCTTAAGCTTTCCGACGAGGACCTCCCAGCATTTGCTTCTTGAGGGGTTCTGTCCATCCCCGGCCACCCCTGTACCAAAGCAGGGCTGGACCTAAACGGTGCTTCTCGTTTTCGCTCTGTGTTCGTCTTCCCTCGTCTTGTCTTCCGTCCGCCTTTACTGCAAAACGAAATCGAAACGAACACAGCCCACGAAGTCGCCAAAACACCGTTTATCGAGGGTGGACAGAAACCCCAACAGTGACACGTCGATTAGTGAATTGTCCGTTTTCGGCTCTCGAGAGGGCG